CCGCTTGTCGGCTGGCCAGTGTAGCACGCTGAAGGTGAAGTGCGAGGTCCACATGATCTACAAGTGGTTCACCAACGCCTTCTACCACGTGAAGGACGACACCGCGTGCATGGTGCACGTGGCGAAGGCGTTGCGCTGGCAGGACGGCATGCGATCCTTCAGGGCGGTTCTCAGGAATGAGATCGAGCGCAGCTTGGTGCACTACCAGCACCAGAAGCCATCGCCAGTGGACCTCGACTACAGCACGAAGTGCCTGGACCTCTTCCTGGCGGAGACCACCCCCAGCCGTCGGCTCCGACGGTGCGTCATCCTCTCGCTAGCCAACGGCGACTGGAGGAAGAGGCGTCGACAGTGCAAGCTCATTGCACTCCCTCCCCCATGCTCTCCCTGGTGGCCCCTTACCAGTAAACACATTTTTTGGATCGCAAGCCGACTCTCTGGACGTCGGCGCTTGCGATGTCAGTCTGAAGGGGGGCTGGCTTGCGTGACAGTCGCGTTTTCCGTGGGCGGGCCCATGAGCCCTTCATGTCTTTGGGGTCGGGGGAGGGGCATGTCGGCAGGGAGTGCCATGAGCTTTGCTCCTAGGGCTTGCGTGGAGCACCATTGCGACGGCTGCTGCATGTCTCGCGCTGACTGCGCGGCGAAGTTCACGACGCTCTTCGTGGCAGCGGTCGCCGCGACGGATCCGCCAGTGTGGCCAACTTCCAGGTGGACGGGCTTCGACGTCGCGGTCGACTTCATGGGCGTCCTGGAGATGTGCCACGGCCTGCTCAGCCGCTCGTTCCTCAGGTGGACTGGCATCGAGGCCGCGGGGGGTAGGCGGGTTTATGGATATAGACGCCCTGAGGCATCAATGAAGTAAGCCTGCGGGCACGCCACTGTTCCCCATCCCCCTCCTCTTCCTCCTCCTCCTTCTCCTGTTCCTTACTCTCCTCCTCTCGTCCTCCGAATTCTGTTTCTGTTCCTCCTCATTGTCATCATTGCCCTCCTCCGTCCTCTCATCATCATCTTCTTTCCCTTCTGTCTCCTCTCCTGCTTCTGTTCTCCTCCTCCCCCGCCGCGCCCCCCATCCCATCCTCGCAAACCTTCCCTTCCTCATCATCACCAGCATCATCGTCATCATCTCCTCATCCTCCATCGCCTCATCTCCCCCCCCTCCCCCCACTCTCCCTCACCCCTACCCCCCCCCTGCAGCGCATGCCGATGAGAGAACGATCATGAGGAAGAGGGGGGGATGAGGGGGAAGAGGGGGAGGAAGAAGAGGAGGAGGAGGAGGAGGAGGAGGAGGAGGATCCTCTGAGGCCGACGCGCGGGGTGGGGGGTGGGAGGTTTGGTCTAAACAGCCGCTCGGTCCGTCCCTCCATCCCTCTCTCCCTCCATCTTTCTCCCTACCATCCTCCCTCATATCCCCTCTCTTCTCCGTCCCCTCTCCTCTCTTATCCAGCAGTCCATCCCTCCTCTCTCCTCTCCACTCCTCCCTTTTCCTACCCCTCTTCCTCATCAGTCTCATCCCTCCCTCCCTTCCTCGTTCCCCCCTCGTCCTCGCTCCTCTCTCCTACTCCTCCTTCTCCCTCCCTCCCTCCCTCCCTCCGCCCCTCCGTCTTCCCCTTCACCCCCCCCGCCGTCCTTCGTCCCTCCCGCATCCTCGTCCCTCTTCATCCGCCTCCTAGTTCCTGCCTGTTCCTCCTCCTCCTCCTCCTCCTCCTCCTCCTCCCTCATGTTCGCCCTCTTCCCTTCCTCTTCCTCCTCCTCCTTCTCCTCCCCCCTCCTCCTCCTTCCCCCTTCCGCTGCTTCCCCCCTCCTTTGTTCCGTTCCTCCTCCTCCTTCTCCCCCCTCGCCCCGCTTTCCTTCATCCTCCTGCTAATTGAGTGATGCCGCCCCACCCTGCCCCCCGCCCTCAAACCCAGGTGAGGAAGATAGAGAAATGGCCCCACGATGCCACAGATGGAACCCCTAGAGTGCCCGAGGAAGTTCCCAAGGCCGCCTGGCGGGGCCATGCTCGGTGCAAGCTAAGTGGGCTCGTGGCCCTACCGCGCTGCGTGCGTGTGTAGATATGTTGAGCTGCCCGCCCCAAGGCTCCAAACAGCCGCCTTTTTTAGGCTTGGGTTGCTCGAGGGGCCCCGCGGGCCCCAACGGCTATTTCGGTCACGGCGAGGGGGGAGAGACTCCCCCCCCCCACCTTCCGTCAACCTCGAAAGGTTGCCAAGCTGAAGGGCGCCGTGCCGCTGCACCTGTGCATGCTCATGGATCACGATCCGCACGGCTTCAACTCAGGCCTGCGGAATGTCGAGGAGGAGGCGCGTCGCGTCGAGGCATCGCCCGCGGGCGGACGCGGCAGCGGCGGCGCTGAGGACCAGGAGGAGAAGCGCAGGAAGGAGGACTCGATCCACCGATGGCACGGCGCCAAGTGGTTGTACCATGGCAGCACGCCAGCGCGGTTGGTCTTGATCAGGGTGGTGCTGGTGCCTCTCGTGCAGATCCAGAGGCGGTACATGGAGTCCACTGGCATCAAGCACGCCGACGAGATGGAGTACCGCAAGCTCGCCCGAGCAGCTGGCCTTGACCACGACATTGACGACGAGGTTTTTCCGATGGTCGCAGCGTCCAGGTTCGTTTTCGAGAACGAGTTCCTCATGATCCTGACGAGTGCGATGTTGGAAGCATGGCGGTGGGACATCATAACTCCAGGGCTCAGGTCGCATCGCCTTCGCGCCGAGGCCTTCATCATGTTGAGCCAGATCGGCTGCCTGGCCCACGAGCTCAGGGTGCTGCACTCGGGGTACCCCTTTAAGCTGTTCAAGTTGTTGGACGGAGATGGCGCGGACGAGACCGGCAGCGATTGCAAGACCATGATGGACAGCTGGAGCCAGGACCTCGTCGGGAAGTACGCCGACGCCGAGGACGGCTTCAAGAGCGCAGAACTTCTCGCGGAGCTCAGGCATACCGCCGCCACTGTTCAGCGCGAGACTTGCAGCATCGAGTCCAGCCACGCTACCATCCGTCGGAGCCTTCACATGCTGAGCGTGCAGACCCACGCGATGCACATCAGGCGCCTGTCTGCATTGCGGACTTGCCAGCGGTTTCGAACACGGCAGCATCGATTGCGCAACGGGCCTGTGCGACTCGTGCTGGAGAACGCGATGAAGAACAGGGTCGGCCAGAAGCCTCCAACCAGGAAGCGCTACCGCGGCTTCGGCGGTGCTTGGCGTGCTTTCGTTCGACAGCAGACGCTTGGTCAGAAAGGGTCGCCCGACTTTTCGGAGATCGTGAAGGCGTACCGCGCGCTGTCTGTAGAGGAGAAGAAGAACCTCCAGGACATGGGGGCGGCAGCAACCCGAGCAGCACGGGCTGGCAACAAGATGCCGTTCGGAGGCAGCTCTCGCATGATGAGGGCGCGGGCAAGCAAGGCGGCGATGGCACTTCAAGTCAGAGATCTGGCGGGTCGCAAGCGCGCGGCGCTGTTGGAGTCTTCGGGCGCTGACGATGTCGACATCGCAGTTGCCACGTACAGCGGCATGATCAGCATCGCTTCGTCGAATACCAAGCACCTCTCCGACATGAAGAACCTGCGGAACTTCGAGCGCGCGGAGCGGGCCTGGCGCGCATCCGACAAGGATGCGAAGCACAGCGAGATCAGCAAGTGGCAGTTGCTGACGGGCGCTCGGCTGAGGTCAGAGTGCTTGGACCACGATTCAGCCATCCGGAAGAGGCTCGACGAGTTCCTCCCCGTTGTTCCCCCACATGAAGATTTCAAGCTTTTCCAGTGGGAGCCCCTGGGTATCTTGGATCGGGTGAGGCGCGGGTTGTCAGCACATCGTGACTACATCAGGGACGTCTTCACTGCTTTGACGAAGATCTGGGGCGAGATGCACGACATTATCGATCACAAGCCGCGCCCCGAGTGGGGCGAGAACGATTGCCCAGACATCCCGCCTTGCATCTTCGCTGGCATGTGCGTGTGCCAGGGCGCGGGGCTGGAGGTCGACAAGTTCGTGAACCACTTCAGCGATGCTGTCAAGCTGGCCATCCCAGTCGGTCGCGAGAGGACCCAGAGTCTGGCTCACGGTCACGTCGTGGTCTACGTCTTCGCGCAGCCCCAACCTGCCGCAGACGAGAAGGACATCGATCTTGCCACAAACAGCATCATTGAAGGCTTGCCGATCGTTGAAGGCAGGTGGTTACACATTGGCCACCAAAGTTTGTCGCCATGGCGGTCTTGCTTCCAAGCCCTGGAGGGCCCGATGCATCAAGTCATCAATACAGACAAGCATCGACTACAGGCTACCTGCGAGTTTGCGACGCCGTGGCAGGCGTTCACCAACTTCGATCGGGATCTCAGGTGGTCCATGTGCGCGTACCAGGTGGAGATGAGGAGCAGCCCTCTCGGATCTTTCTGCCCGAAGGAAGTCGACGTCGAGTTGATCGAGGAGCGCGAGATGCCGAACATGCCGATGTGCAGGGTCATCTGGAAACCGAAGTGGGCGGTGTGGAGGAAAAAGCGGGCGAAGGTTGACAAGAAGGGCTCGGACTTCAAGTCTGGATGGGGCGACGCTCTACCGTTCAAGGACGACGATCAGGATGGCGACAATGGCGACAATAACCACGACGGCGACGACATTGCCGACAGCGCGGCAGAGGTCGCAGGCGAATCGCACGTGCGAGATGCCGTCGACGCACTTGGGGATGCTGCAGCTGACGTCGGAGGGGGCGTTGAAGTTGCGGATGACGGTGATCCAGGGTCACCGATGTGTGTCGCTGATGGCATTGTGCAACAGACGCAACCTCTCTAGCCCAAAACTCAGAGTACACTCGCACGGGCCCTTGCAGGGCCGATCGGTGTGCGCATGCTCTATCAGGCGCAGTTGTTTTGGGATGGGCTTGTGGCAAGCGCCCCCCCCCCCCAGCGTCTCCCCACCACCCACGCTCGAAACGTGCATCTGTGGGTGCGTCTGTGGGCAATGCCATCCTGTCTGCTTTATCGGCGACCTTGGCTTCAAAAGGTGTCGAGGTAGACGTGCTCGGGGCGCCCTTGCCTGTGGAGCCAGTTCACGAGGGCAAGGAGGTAGATGACGACCAGTCGGATTCGTCCAGTTCGACTTCAAGCAGCCTTAGCTCAACGGCCGACCTTGACGGCATCATTGGCCCTGAGGGGTCGAGCGATGCAGGTGGTGACGATCCTGGCGGAGGCGAGGGCGGTGCGTCCGCATCATCGGGGGCCTTGGCTCCGCTACCACCGCCGCCTCCGCCCCCGCCGCCAGGTGGCGGCACGGCAGCGGCGGAGCCAGCAATGCTCTTCATCGAAGTCGAGGGCGGGAGAATCGTCTACAACGCGAAGAAGAACGACCTGATCGCGGAGTGCAGGAGCCCAGGGCACGTAAAGTGCAGGAAGCACAGGGTATGCCACCCTGGGGCCAGACCACAGCAGGGGCGCCCCATCGGCTTCCTGGTTGCTTGGCTGCGGAGGCACGCGGAGTTCGTGAACCAGATGTCGCACGGTGCCGCCAACTGGATTGACAGGGAGAACCGCCAGGCTGCTCGGACGGCCTTTGCTGCCATGGGCCCCATGGCGGCTGCGCTGCTGGCCCGCGAGAGGCCGCGTGCGCCTGGCGAGCCAGATGAGCCAGCCGTGTGCCCATGAGCGTTGTCTTGACGATCTGCGCTCAGTGCGCAGAGCGGCGTTGGTGCCTGCTGGCCTAGCAGGGCGCCGCATCCAGGGCTGGTGCCAGCTTGAGACGAGCATCGGGGTGTCAGTGGGATATGCCAAAATCGTAGACGCTTCGCGTATTTTCGCCAGCTTCCACCACTAACATACAGACATGTTTCGCTGGGAGAGGGGCGAGGGGTGTGGGAGGGCGGTGATGGAGCGAGCAAGTGAACGTTCGCAAGAGTCACAGGTTGGACTCATCCGAACTATGTTTGAAAAGGCTTGTGCCGCTGCTTCGGCGTTATGGGGCCAATTGGCCCCCTTTCCCAATGAACACTCGGAGCTCTCCTGGGAACTATTGGTGCGTCTATTCAGGATAGGTTTGGGCGGCACCGACGAGCTTAGTGGGCGTCGCTGGCCGTCGAACCTAATGCATGCGATATCCACTCCCGACCGCGTTGGCCAGAACGCGCCGCAGCGTTCGGCTGTCTGGAGACCAGTGTAGGGCACTCATGGGTGCTCTCGGGGCCCTGCTAGGTGTCTGGTGCGCGTGCATGCTGTGCTTTTGCCGTATTGGAGCCATCTTGGGGCCGCAGGCGCTGGCCCACAAGTAAACGTGCGATAGTACATTGCACCGCGTATGGTGCTCCAAACGTCGAGTAAGATTGCTTGCCGAATGCGCACACATGAAAACTAAGTGGTAATGTTTGGCGATATTTTGTTGGGGGAGGGCCTTTAGAGCGTCTTATGTCTCAGGGCCTTCGGTGGCCTTGCCAACGCAAAAGAAGACAAGGTGCCAGTAGGTAGGGCCGCACTGGTTCAAATCTCGGGGAACCAAGCCCCCTTGGACTACCAACGCAAGCCAACGCGGCGCCCATATACATCGATAGCCTCGCGACCATGCCCCTGGCGCATTGCATTATACGCTCAACCCAAGGGGTGCGAATGGTGATCGGAATGGGACCCTCTAACTAAACAGCACCCGCGTTAAATGCATCGTGCGTCGCTCAATTCAATGTTTCAGAGTGCTGGTCCAATTGACCATTCAACTTGCATATCACATGTAAATTCTCGTTTGGCTTCCGCCCTTGCCGCCGCCACTTCGTTCGTCGTCGTTGTCCTCGCCGTGCGCGTCACAACTACGCACGACATACGCGCGGCGCACACGTATGCGCGCGCCGCCATGCACATGTATATGTGCATGGATGGCGCGGCACATCGGCTCAAGCTGGCGCTTTTGAGCGAACTGCAGGCTAAAGCTTTTCAGCTGGCGCGCCGCGCGGGCCTTGCTATTGGCGGGCGTACCCGCCAGCGCTTCAGGGCTTAAAAAGGTTTGACAAGCGCGCTTCGCTTGCATGTAAAACCCCGCCTTGCTTTGGCAGCGGTCGCTGGGCCGACCTCGCACGATGCGCTGCGCTGCCCTGGGCTCGGCGTTCGTGGGGTCGCAAGCGCCAAGCCGCTATGATTTGCACGCGGTGCGCGTCGCGCTACCGCTCCGCCAGGCTGCCCGACGCTCAAAAAAGCGCGCAGCGCGAATGTGCTATTGGCGACGGCGGGACGTAAACTAATTGATGCCGCGTTCGGCGCGCGGCGGTTCAAGTTTCTCCAGGTCCGTGCGGTTTGCGCGGCGCAAGTGCCGAATGATGCTCGCAGCGTGTCCCAGAGAACGTTCAGCGCGGCTCGCCCTCGTGAGCTGCCACAAAGCGCAGCCTTGGCACATCGGCGTTGGACGCGGCAGCGTCGCAGAGCGCGGGCAGCGGTCTCGCGGATTGCATTGTCGGCGCAAGTAGAACGCCAAACGTTTGCGGTTATAAGCGTTGTGGGCGCTTGGTTTGCGCCGCGGCAGCAGTGGTCGGCAATGTTATGAAGCGTCGTGCTCGGGAGGACGTGTCAGTGACAATGCGTAAGGTCATATTGGAAACCCGCGCGGTTGGCTCGCGCGGGCGGTGCCGCGTAGGTTGGTTTGCGAAGTGCGGCCTGACGGTGCACCAGGGGGCAGCGCTTGACGTTTGACGGGCTGTCGGTTACTTGGTGGTTCGACACGTCGGCGGGCGATGGGGCGGGCTGGCGGGCGGGGTTGGCACGGGGCACAGTGGGTGGGAGGGTGGAGAAGTGCAGTTGCACGGGGTGCGGCTTGCGAGGGGTCCATGGGTGGGCGCGCGCCATGCGGGGCGATGCCCGCTGGCTCCAGCACGTTCAGCCAGTGCGGGCGAGCCCTCAGCCAGCGGCACCACTGATCTGTAGCGCGTGGTCTGGCGGTTGGCATCTCGGGCATTTCCTGAGGGGCCGAAACTTCTTTGGGGCAAGCATGGTGTCAGCGCGCGTCTTTTGTGACGCTGCTGTTGCGGCTTGCTTGCCATCTTTTGCCATCCTAGAGCTTCCGTCGCGACGGCAGCTCGACATGTTGGCCATCGCGCCAGCCCTGCGCTTTTGCATCGGCTGTCGTCAGGTGGCCTCGCGAAGTCCCGGTTTCCGTTCGGTTGTTTCGCGTGCATCGCTTGCGGGCGTGGCTCATTGGGCAAGGCTGCGTTGGCAGCGACGGGAATGCAGTGCGAGTAAGGCAGCCACGCGCAGGCGGCAATGCTGATTCGTTGCGTTGCCCTCTTTCGGCCGCGTCCAGGACCGCGGGAAGGCTTACTGATGCGGCGGGGGTGGAAATTGGAGCAGTCGCTTGCCGCGTCGGTGCAGTGGCTTTAAGGTTCGAGTTGGCGCGCCCGCAGGGCTCCGCGTCGAAGTGCGTTTGGCAGAATTTCAGAATGGCCTGACTTCGGTAAGCTTTCGGCGTGTCGCGCTGGGCTGGCCGCGTGGTTGCGCGGGCGGCAATTGCGCTGTCCCTTGCGCATGTTGCATGGAGTATGGGAGAGAAGTTTGAAGCGCTTAGGTTGCGTCCACCTAGCAGGAACCAGGCGGGCCCGACGCTTCCATATATCAGTCTGGATAGTGATTTGGGTCGCGTTTGGTGAGGCAGGGCCGCCCGCTCTGGGCAACCTGCTGCCATCTCCATCGGAGCGGCTCGCTCGGCGTCGGCTCGGCGTCGCCACATTGGGGGTCGCGCGGGGCCGCTTTGGAGCGGCCTTAAGTTGTCGTGAACATTGCCTGAGGCAGTTTGGTGCCGTTTCAGGCATCCATGGGGGGTTGTGGGTGCGCGCGTGGGCATCGTCACTGTTGGTTCTGAAGGCACGAATGGTGTGGTTTCTGTAGAACGGCGTCGATCGTTCGAAGGCGCGCGCGTAGCGCCACTTGCGCGGACGGTTGTTTTGACGTCGCGCGCGCGGTTGCATTGCGCGCGCCGCAAAGAGGTCGGTCGACTAAGAGCGCGCTACACGGGGCGCGCGCAGGGGGGGGCTGCCCTCGAAGTCACCGCGCTCCGTCAGCGCGCTGGGTCAATGCCCGCTCCACGCGCCCCCAATTGCGAAGGCGCGGCGGCAAGTATTCTGACAAGGCCCGATGGGCGCTGTGGATTTCGCAGGGCCGCGCAAGTGCGACCACGCGCGCGGGGCCGTTTGTTTAGCTTCGCGCGGCGGGCCACGCGCCCGCATCCAAGAATGATGTTGCGCGCGTCGTTGTGTTGCGACAGTTGCGGGACCGCCGCTGCACACTTGGGCGTTTGGGGTGGGTGGCCGCGCTCTGCGTTGCAAGTGGGTTCGGCCGCTTGGCTGCGCCTGAGGTTCGGCATCGCGCGCGCCGTCGCGGCCGTTACGTCGACGCACGGGCGCGATTGGGTCGCGGCGGCGGCGGCGCAGCGAGGGCGGGCGCGCGCGGCGACGTCCGCGCGGGCGCAGCCGAACGTCCGCCAGCCGATGTGCACGCCTTTGTAGAGGTAGAGTGGTCGCGCGTTCTTCAGCGCGCGCGTCGTCGGGCGCCTCGCGGGCGCGCGCCGCGTCGATCGCTGGCAGCTGGGCGGGGCATGGCGACGAGGGGCGCCGCCGCCGCTGCCGCCGCGCTGGGCCGCGGTCGCGCGGCAACCGCGCCGCGTCGGCGGCGCAGCGCCGCAACGTTAGCCTCTGTCACCAATGCTGCCGCTGCCAGGCCATCGCCAGATGCGCAGCCCCGGCGCTGCAGTGCGTCGGGGGGAGGCGCCCGATGCGGACAAGCGGGCAATTGCAGCCGTCGCGCGTGATGTGGGACGTCTGCATGGCAGGCGGCGCTGGCAGCCATTGCGTCATTAACCATTGGCGCGCATTGGGCGCGGAATATGGCAACTGCTTCGCAACTGCGTCGGTCGTGGCGTTGGCGCGCGAGCGGCGGTCGCCGCGGCCGCGCAGGGCTCGCAGTTCGGCCGCGCGTTTGATGTGCCAGCCGCCGCGCCGCCCGCCACCCGATCGCAGGCGGTTGCAGTGGCGATGGTTGCCGCGGCGGAAAGGGGCCTCGCCGTTGCGGCAGTCGGGCACGGGCAAGGCCCAACCGCAGGCCACGGGCGCGGCACCGCCTTGCATTGGGGCGTGGACGGTCGAGCCGCGGGCAGGGCTGCAGCAGTCGCGTAGCGCCGATGCAGCTGTTGTAGTTTGGCCGCGCGTTCGCTGCTTTTGCTGGGCGAACGCCCAAGGGGATCGCGTCGGTCATCGGCCGCGCTCGTGCGATGTGTCGCGCCGCAATCGCGCGGCATCGCGCCTGCGCAACAGTTTCTTTCTGGCCAGATGACCGCCCGCGGGCGCAGCACGCTGATATATTCACTGCTCTGTGCCGACGACGGGTTTTCAGCCGATTCGTTGCGTCGCGCGTAGCCGTCTGCTGCCTTAGGCCAGTTCGCAGTGCGCGCGTTCCGCTGCGTCGCGCGGCCGCGCGCTCGGCGCGACGCCCAGCGGGCGACGCTGGCAGGCGCGATAGCGCAAGTGGCAACGCGCGCCTTCTACGTTGCCACGGCGGGGCCGATTGCGCCGCGGCCGTTCGGGCGCGGCGCCGCGGCGCCCCCCCCCGTAATCGACGCGCGTGACGCGGCGGGTTGTTG